CAATATCTATGAAATCTTCTAACTACAGCAGTCACAAAATAATCGAGAGGGAATCTGGGCAGCCAGTCCCGTGGGGCTAGAAGCTACCCAGTGGTTATTAAAAATGCACAGAATGTCAACGGGAAATGCTGGCTTGCAGTAACTGAGACAACAGGTGAGAGACCAGCACATAGGAAGGACTGTGATCTGCCACTGGCTGAGGGCCGTGCGCGGCCAGGTGTGCAGCTCTCTGGGGAGGGAGCCCCTGGGGTCATGCTCTTCAAATTTCATTAAAAGAGCTGAAAGGGCTCCTGCCTGTGCAGCAGCGAGGGCTTTTTCATTTTCTTCTCTCGTTATTCCAGCCTGTCTTGCCTACGAAAGCCTGTGTGCACGAGTCCACGCTATTATGATGACATCATTCCCGTTTACCAGTTGCATCTGAGTGAGCTGGATTGTTGTCTGGGTGTCCTGTACATGCAGTCCAACAAAATCCCAGCAATTAGGATGCAATGTTCTTACCTCTCTCATTCTATTCCCTCACAATGCCCTCCTAACTTGCCTAAAATACCAGGCTGGCTCTTCCCTCAGTAGCCTCACACTTAGCATGGCCCCAAATCCCTCTACGAACTGGCCTTGCTGTTCACGTGCCTCCTCCCCCCTGCTCCACAGCTTAGCCTGTGCATTCCAGCCGCACGAAACTGCCCTTGGCTCTTCTCTCCAGGCATGCACAAGGCTGTCGTTTGTGTTCTCGCTTGTGCACTTGGCTCCTCCTGCCTGGAATGTCTCTCCCCACCTGGCCTACCCAATGTACTATTTATCTTCAGAACTCTATTCAAGGGTCACATCTAGGGACCTTTCTCTGGTACCTTCCTCTGAATAAACCGGTGCCTCTGATACTGTCTGTTGCTGCGTGTGTCACAGTGCACTGATTAAATGACATTCGTGTTTCCCGGGCACATAGTGGGTGGCCAATACACACTTGTTGGATTGAACTTGGCCTCTCTTTGATGAGTTCAGATCAGGAAGGTTGTGAAAATGCTGTTCTAGAGATTCCCACGGCATTCTCACAGCCTGGAGTGCACAGGGCATTTACAAAGAAATTATCCATTAGCACCACAACAAAACGTACAAATATCAACTCTTAGGCAACTAATCCCAGCAAAATTCTGAGGCTTGTCCGGACAAGAAAACAGTCCTAAAGAGAAAGAAAAGGCCGAAGAACAAGGTTACATGATTGGAAAGAGCTGTCCTTATGTTTACATTTAAAATAAAAGACTAAAATGTACCAAGAAGTTGCCTTGGAGATACCACCCAAACAGAGACCCACGGATGCTATCAACATTCAAACATTCAAAGCAAGGACACCTTATCCACCTTGCTAATGAGAGCACTATGAATGGGTGCAGTGGGTGCAGAGTCAACAAAACGGCTACGGTCCTGGGTCATTCACTAGGTGAGGAAACTTGAAAAAGTGGTGCTATTAATCTTTTCAAAGTACGCCTTTTACAAAACACCTCTCAATAGAAATATACATCGAACACACGACATCTAAGCTCTGTATCAATTAGTCTGGCATGAAGGAACTCAACGGAACTATTTTCTTTTTTACCTGTAAGAACAAAGCTCCTCCGAGCTCTCACCTTTCACAGCTCTGTGTAATGCACCAGCATCTGCCTACAGGTGTATTTCCTCGTGGAAAGATATAAACACTTATGTATTTTGTTTCTTGGACTTAGAAACACGTAGATTAAGAATGCGGCTTGGAAATGTGGACCTCTTGTTAAAGATGCCAGTGTAGTTAGCCGAGGCAGCAATGCCTGGACATAAAATCTTCTATGTATGTTTCCATCTCTAAAAATACAGTGATGACATTTTTCTCTGACCTCTGCCTACTGCAGGGAGTAGAGAGGATGAGGGTGGTGATGCTCATTAAAGCCATTATCTTCTTAAAAGAGAGAGTAAACACTCACTATAGCTATACTGTTAGCAATCTTGACACTACTCGGGGCTTTAAAAATCTCGTTTTATTAGGGGATGAAGCTCCTTGTTACTAAGATGCTGTATAATGCTCTCCAGCACACTAGTCCAACCAAAGCTGAAAGGCATGGTCAATAAATGCAACTCATTTAGAAGCTTCTCTGCTTCTCTCATTCCTAGCACTGATTCACCCACTTGAAAAATATTTGATCAATTTAGTTCTTATTAAGGATTAGTTGATGAGAAATGCCTATGCCTAGAAAGTTCCAGAAAAGCATTTTCAGAAAAATACTTGAAAGAGGAAGTAAGGCTGTATGTGGATCCCTACCCCTAATTCCCAGCAGTGGCCCAGTGACTGACACATGGACACTCCCTTGCAAACTCAGCCACTTGCCCATCTTCTGGGAGGAAGTCAAGATTTCCCAGTTTGCATAACTATATTCTGATCTCTTCTAGAAAGGCTTGTCATATGTATTTATTTTTAGGGCTTCTGTGAGCAGTTTCTCATTGGCCATGGGAATTTTTAACAATGAAAAAGTTAAAAAACACACCAAGTTGACAACTAAAAAAGAGAAATGTGGGAGAAGAGTCTTGCCAAGCTGCAGGGCAAAATAACAAAGCAGATCCCACTCTCTGTGTGCCCTAGTTTCATTACTCATTTGAGTCAATCACTTATTCAGTAAATATTTACTAAATGCCAGCTTTGTACCAATATTATGCTTGCCCTAGGGCTACAAACATCATTCCTATCCTCAAAGAGTCCAATAAAGAAAAGAAGAGATTAAAAGGATGAAGGTTAAATTAATTAATTAAGCTCCGACTCTGTACTTGGTGCTTTCTAGTGGAATCCTCATTAACAACTGATAAGAGAAGGTAGACAAGACTCTCCTCAACTAATGAATGTGAACTGAGGCCCAATAATTTGTTTGGAGTCATACAGTTGAGTAGACTGGCATTTGCATTCACGTTGATCTAATCTGAAAGTCCCTTTTAAATTTCTTTAGAAAGCAAAAAAAAAACAAAAAACAACCCAACAAAACACCCAAAACCAAACAAAAAAACAGAGGGGGAATAATCACCTATTATCCTAGCACTGTGATGAAAAGAACGTTAATGTTTTGGAGAATTTCCTTCCAATTTGTTTTTCTACACATAGGTTAAATTTTGAATTTCTAAAATGTGTCTCACAGTTGTAATCAAAGCGTGTTATACTGCATGTCACTGGAACCCTGACACCATGGACTGTGAAAGGCTCTGCTATTTTATATAGCACAAAAAAGAAAAATCATAGCCTGCTATATGATGCCACTGACTGAGCTCTGTTCAGATTTCAGTGATGTTACAGTGAAGGTAAAAATCATGTGTCTTAGGAAACATGACCTATTCTGTATTCCACAAAGCCCACACTCATGCAGTCCAGCTCCTGCCTGCAGGTGAAGGTGGCTTCACAGCACAGGGGGCTAGCTCTCCCCATTGCAGCCAAGCTCCTCACCTGGGCTGGGAGGGCCCTCTCAGAAGGGAGAGTGCTCTGTTCATCTTTCTCACACACCCATTGCTTTGCACCTAGTAGGCACTCAAGACATACTTCTTGGTTGAATAAATATGTAACTAAAGCTTCAGAAGAAATTTACCAACAGAAGAAAGTAAAAATTACCAAAGGCCCAAAGAATGGTGGAAGCCCAAGTTTTATTGGTGAATAATGGATCTGTGTGACTATACTCAGGAAGAGGGGAGGAGAGATGGATGGAACGCTGAGTCAGAGGCAATGACCCTGGGCTTTTCCAGGTCATTCCCTTCCTGCAGCCTGCCACTGTCTCCACAGTGCCTCCTCTTCAGCTGTCCAGCACCCTTCACTGAAGTTCTTGCTCAGGCCTGGCTCCATCGTGCTGCTTGATTCTGGCACCTTGGGAAATCACTCACGCTTAATCACAGGCAATCTGATGTTGATTTAAGTTTGCTCAGGGATACCACTCATTAATTTCAAGTATGAACTCGTATGAAGCAAATTCAGGCATCAGCGAGAGGGAGATGGAGAAGAATCATATTTTTCAGAAGAAGCTAAAGCACTCAGTCTAAATGGAAAGAATCTCTTCTGCTTATGTAAGAAGGTCTGAATGCCCTCAGGAAGCAAAAAGCTATGTATAGTTTGAGTCTATATGATTTGGCAATTCAACTTTCTATGGATGCTCACTTAAGATATCTTTCTGAATCAGCAAAATGGGTTTAAATAAAGAACAGAAATTAAGCCAGACTTAGTTTTCCATGTATGTTCTGAGTTAAACATAAGACCTGCACATTTTGAAAACCATCATGATTTCTCTTGCCTTCCTTCCCTCCTCTTCTTCCTTCATGCATCTATCAAGTATCTATGTGCGTTTTATAACATGTAAAGGACTGTGCTAAGTTCTCTAAGAGAAATGACAATGGGCCAGAAAATTCTGACCTCAGAAAGAAGTTTCCAGATTAATAGTGATGACAACTTTCACTCATAGAGAAGTAAATCACCAAGGAGAGAAAGCATAAGTATTGTCAGAGACACAGGTGATATGTAATCACGGTTTAGAACCAGGGGAGATTAAGTCCAGCTAGGAGATCAGGAAAGGCTTCAGGGAGGAGGTGTCATTTCATGTGAGCCCTGCAGGATAAAGAGGATCTAGGCATACGGGATTAGAGGCAAAGACCTGTGCATGGGCAAAAGGACTCCGGTTGTTCTCCTTTACACAACTGTTCATTGTTTAGGAAGCAAGATGTTGTTCTTAGGCCTATCCATGAGGTGTTAAAGCTCTGGGTCTATAAATGGATCATCACCTTGGGCTGACCACTTTGGGGTGTTGTAAGTCATACTCTCTGAGGGCCAAAGCCAAGGAAATATTGTAAGATTTCAAGCTGATTAAGTGTGAAATTTTAGAGAGAAGCCATAAAAGCTGAAGCCCGGTATATAACGGAACATTTGAAACCCACAACTGGTAACTAAGACACTTGACTAAAAGCAACAGCGCAATGTCATTTTTCAAAATGCAAGGGACCGACTGCTCCCTGCTTACCATGGACATGGATCCCATTTGGTTGGAAAGAAGAGTTTGTTTCCGGCTGGTAAGACTTCAGGTGTGATCCTGAGGGCTGCTGGGTGTGGGGCGGCTGTGCTCTCTGCATTACTGAAGGAGGAGCTGGAACTCTCCGGGGACTGATGTGGTGAGGAGATGGAGCAGAAGGTGCAAACCTGAGAAAACAATTATAAAAGGAAACATGAGGGACGTAAAATCACAGGAGCACAGACACTCTTCAAAGCCAGATTCTCATTTCCCATTCTGGCTACATAACAGCATGTCAAAAAGCCCTTTAATAAAAATCTTAAGACTTTTGTCTCCCATTTTTAACCGCTGACTTCTCAATTGAGATACTGAGGGAATAAAAGAGATCAGCAAAGGGGAAATCTAGTCAAGGTGTGGGTTTGTCAAGCTTCTTAAAATGCATTTCAAATACTCTGGGTTCGGTGAATTTCAAAGCACATCTCTTGTCAGACCGATTTTCTTCTAATTTTTAAATCCTTTTGCATTTTAAGGGAAATTTGATCTGAACGTTTCTGATTCACTTACACTTAGGTCATAAACATTTTGTCCTGTATTACATATCTGAGGTCCAAGAAGTGTCACAAGTCTTTATTAAGCCTCTCTAATCCATTCTCTTTAACAAAACATTTTCTTTGGCCAAGAATACATTAACTTAGACCTCAAAGGTCAAGAGTGGTTTGAAATCCAGAACCCAAGAGATCAGCGTGGGTTCTGTGCATGGCAAAGAACACTGCCCAGGTGACAGAAACATGAGGTGGGACGTCTTCTTTCGCAGTCACATGTGCGAATCACAGAAAGACTATTGGTAGTTTCTGAGGAGAGAAATACAGGTGCTTAAATAAGGTAACATCATCAACTAACCTGAGATATAAAATGGATAAATGACTATTCATTTTCTAATTGTAAGGGAGAATTGGCAGGATTGGAGAATTCACTAGGTGCAAAATGACAGCTGGAGGGACTAACACTGAAGGGAGGGTGTATTTGTGACAACAATGTTAGTGTTTAATAATGTCCAGGGACTAATTTCACAGGAACAAATCACTTCACTTGGCTGGGCTTTGGTGTAAGGCTGTAGATGATAAACAGGATGAACCAGTCCTGTTTACATAAAGTCATTTTCAATGTTCTGAATGAGAATATTTAGTGAGGCAGAGCTTCTACATGTGTATCACAGCTGGAAGAAACAACTGGATGAGCCCCGTGTTCCTTCTGGACTGTCCTGGTGGAGGTAGGAAGAGGCTGGGTAAGGAGGTGATGCAGAGGCCCTGGCTGGTAGCTGGGCTGGGTAGAGAGTCGTCCCGATACACCAGTGTTGTGGGTTTGATCTCCGGCCAGGGCACATACAAGAATCAACCAATGAATGCATATATAAGTCTCTCTCTCTCAAAATGAATCAATAAATGACAAAAAAAAAAAAAAAGGTGATGCAGAAACCAAGGAGGGAGGATCTGGACTAGTTACCCTCTGGAGGAGAGAGGTCAGAGGATGCTTAAACAAACTAGCTGGGTCGGGATGCCTGTTTAATCACTTATTTATATCTCTGCTCTGCTGAAAGAGAATAGTAACTGTCTTGTGGCAGTAAATATGTATTTTCCAAGCACATCGTGTAATTAGTTTGGAATTAGCCTAAAAAGACCTGCTGACTGGCCTTCAGAGAAAACACAGCAAAAGAACTCTGGCACTGCCCTGAGAACATCTAGTAAAAACTCATCAACCAGGCTTTCTCGTGCAGAGGTTATTTTCTTGGGGAACATGTCCTTAATGTGTCCCACAAGCTACTCTGAGTTTGTGGGATAGGGATAGGAATTATGGGACCACAGACTTTAGGGCTAGAAGGAGTCCACACTACCACCAACATGGGAATCCTGCAGACAGGGGATCCCCCGGGAGAGCATGGGGGAAAATCTGAACTGGAAGGCAACCTATGTCACTACTAAATAGCCATGGCTGGCATCTCAATTTTGTCTTTTGACTGGCTTCCTAATTATATTTCTTTAATTGGGAATAAAAGATGCTCTAGAAGATTTTCTAGTCTTTTCTTCTGGTACTTCTGCCACCTTTCCTTTCTTCTGAGGACTGATGAGGAAGAAATGTGTGGATAGGGAGAGGTGCAGAATTTAGAAGAATGACCCTGATATCCTGGGACTGATGGAGCAGAACAATTCTGTTTCATAACTCCCAAGCCCCACAGCACAGTAAGTCTGACTCATAAACAAGGGTCTGATTAACAAAGAGCAGAAAAGGTGGATGGGGAAGGGGAAGGAGGTGAAGACTGTCAGCAATATAAATCTTTATTTAATTTGGGGTGAGGTGGTTGTAGGGTGAATTACGATTATTAGCTATGAAAAAGGGAAAGTATTCAACCAACTAAAAGAATAGAATTCATTAGGCATTTTCTGAGTCATCGAGAATGTAAATTCCATATAACAGACTCTCTATCTAAAGATTTGTATATCTACATATAAATTATATATCTATGTTATCTATCTGTCTAGAGAGTATATAATTATATGCTAATTATAAATCTTTCTTATCTTATTCATTCACACAAGTTCCAAACCCGGGCCATGCTCTCTTGGCTACCATATATTATTTAATGTAATAATACTGATGACAAAAAAAAAAAGTGGCAGGATCAACATCAAGATTTTAGCATTGCTTATCTCAGAGACCCAAGGGGAATAAAATGCCTATTAAGCCTTCAACTGACTCTGTATCTTGCTTTTTGTTAATTCAGACTGGATTTTTCTCCTTGCTGTTCAAATAAGAAAGATTATATGGTATAAAGTTAATATAATTTTAAAATATAGTATGTCATTCCACATAAATTAATAAAAATTTAAATATAAGCTATTCTAAGTAAATAAATGTATACCTAAGGTAGCCTGACTTGAAAAGGAAAGAATTGGAACAAACATTTTAACTTTTACATGTACAGAGAAAAGATGACAAGTGATAAGACGTGATCTCAATTATCCAGACAAGGAAGAAGGAAATAAATAAGAGTTCAGCACTAGAAAGTCCAGCATAAGAAGTGAGTGTATAAAAGTGATTGATTTTCAAGTACAGCACATAGAATCAATTTTGTTACTGCTTAAAAACACTGCATGGTATTTTATTGAAAAATCTTTCACAGTCCCTCTATTAATTAATTTAATGTTTATAAACTTGGTTACTTGTTAACTAGCTCATAGTAAAGTAGAAATAGAAAATTAAAATCAGGGTGCAGGGGCAGGAGAGGCATAAAGAAGGCGGAGGAGAGTCTTACTGATAGAGTCAAAGCCCTGAGAGCATCCAAAAACAATCACTGACAACTCATAGCAAGATAGATGCCAGAAACATTATTTCAAAAGCCAAAGGACGTAAGAAACTTGAGTAGTTTGAGGCTATTTACTCTAGAAGCAAGCAAACAAAAAACAAGCACACTTAAACAGAAGCTTACTGAGCAAAACATAAAATGTCCCTCTTGTTACTGAAGGAAGGCTAACTCCCATTTTCTTAGTGTCCTCAACTGTTCCCCAAACTTGCTAACACACACATACACCTACCAAAATGAATATGTCCATAATATTCTGCCCAAAACAGAGATTTTAAAAAAAATTCAATGAAGGTGAATTTTAAAAATTTTGATGCTGACATAAATAAACAATTTTGATGCTGAACAAAAACTGCAAGGATTTACAATTTTTCTTCTATGGAATCTCTCATTCCCTCATTACATCAGGACAAGATGACATCACTCGGATTCATTCTGAATTACAGCAGTGTCCAAGAGCCACAGAGAGTCTGTCTGTCTGAAATTTTTCTAGGCCCAACTCAGTCCCCCAGCTGCTGATATGCGCTTGACATTTCACAGGTTTTATTCCACGTGGCTCACCAGCCTCTTCTCCGGCTTCTTGTACTTTCATAAAACAATGGAAGACTGTTATGTAAATATGCACACAACAGACTAGAATTTTTTAAACAAAAATCACTGCTTACCAGAAGATCACACAAAAGCAAATCACAGAATTGAGTCAACCACTTCCACTCATTTAGTGGAGGAGTTTATATAACCTTAGCATGAGCCATGGTTCACTGGCTTGCCAAAAGAAAAAAAAAGGGAGAGAGGAAGCAGGTTTTAAAGGGCTCATGAAAGATTTTCCAGGGAAAAAAAGAGAGGTTTCTGCAGATCTTTATACAACCGTAGAAAATGTCTGCTCCTTGAGGGTATTTACTTGGTTATGGTGACTGCTCCCACCCTCTGTTCACACTAAGCTTCCCAACCTTGCAGTGAGGTGGGCCAGAAACACAGAGGTCAGCTCTCCTGTGAATGTAGTTCTCAACTTAGGTTCTGTGTCGTAGAACAATAGGTCCCTATGGAGACAGGCAGAACTAGTGAGGATCCCATGCAGAAAAACTGCAAATGGCAGGAGAAGCAGACAGATGTCATCAAAGACAGATGTACTGGAAGTCCTGGGCTTGAGTATTGCCTCTGTCCCTTACTAGCTGGGCAATCTTGACTAAATTACCTGATTTCGCCCAGCCTCGGTTTTAAGAATAAAATAAAGATAATCTCGACTCTTACTGGGGACTGTAAAATCTGAGGTAACATTTTTATTTGTTCATTCAAGAGATAGTTATTGAGCACTGACCAAGTGTGTGGCACTGTTTTAAGCACTAGAAATAAAGCAACACATGACACATATCTTTGTCTTTGTGAAACTTACGTTTAGGTGAGGGGGGCAAGAAATGAACAAATTTAAGTTAGAAGGCTGTGTATTGAGCTAGTACTCATAGGAAATGAGTACTATGAAGAAAAATAAAGAATGGAAGCTGAAGGATGGAGGTGGGTTATGAACAAATTTAAACTGGGAAGTCGAAGATATTAAAAGTACTCTAGACAATGAGTGTCTGACACCTTTCAGATGACCAATACATGGTGATGGAATGGCTGCTCTAAATAGAATATAAATATAAGGAATCTTTGACATTAACATGTACCCAGTGCTTGAGAGCTATATAAGATTGTGGTTCAAGCACTGTATTTGAGTATTTATGGAGTTCTTAAAATAAAAAAATCTTAGGACACTTTTATCCCTTAACTATTCAGATATGGACGCTAAGGCTCAAAGAAAGTGAGGCATTTAGTCCTTTGGCTAATTTT